CCCCCCCCCCCGCCGCCGCCGCCGCCGATTACACGTTCGCAGAAAAATCCGGTTATCTCTGCTGAGGAGGACCGCTCGAGCGCGATCCGTCGCGTTCAGATATCCGTAATTTGCATCGATATCGGGTTTCGCGTCCAAGGTTATAAAAATGGCGGGATTAGGTGGGGATGCAGGTGTTTTCGCGCGAGGTTCGGGGCACGATGTCGCGTATCGCGAAAGAATCGCGAAAGAAACGGACGGAGAAGAAAAAGACGTAGACGTAGACGTTGCGATTTGCACGTGTCTCTCTCTCTGGCTTGTAGCGACGTTTACTGTCACGGCGAGTTGCTGCACACGATACAGATGGCCTCGATCTACAAGGACTCCAAGACGTTCGTCGACATGAAGATGAAACACCCGCCGAACGAGACGTTACTGCTGTTTCGGGAATTCATGGAGCGGGTCGATCACATGCCCACCCGGCATCAGATCGAGGAGTTCGTCAAGGACACGTTCGATCCGGAGGGATCCGAGTTCGAAGAGTGGGATCCCGCGGACTGGGTCAGCCATCCCCGCTTCCTCGACAAGATCCTCGACGAGGACCTCCGGAAGTTCGCCTCCGACCTGAATCGCATCTGGAAGATGCTCGGACGGAAGATGAAGGACGACGTGCGGATCCACGAGGATCAGTACTCGATCATTTACGTGCCGAATCCGGTGATAGTGCCCGGCGGCCGATTCCGGGAGTTCTACTACTGGGACTCCTACTGGATCATCAAGGGGTTGCTGCTCTCCGAGATGTACGCCACCGCCAAAGGAATGCTCTCCAACTTTGTCTCGATCGTGGACAAGATCGGTTTCATACCGAACGGCGGCAGAATTTACTACACCATGAGGTCCCATCCTCCCCTCTTGATCCCGATGGCCGACGTCTACGTGCAGGCGACCAACGACTACCAGTGGCTCGAGGAGAATCTCTACCTCCTCGAGAAGGAGTTCGACTTTTGGATGACCAACCGGACGGTACAGGTCGAAATGGACGGAGAGAAGTACACCCTGGCCAGATACTACGAGGAATCTTCGGGACCGCGACCCGAGTCGTACAAGTAAGAGTTTCGTTCCTCCTTTCTCCTTCGTTTCGCGTTCGAACGCGCCTTCTTTCTAACGGTGACAATTTTCTACTCGATCAGAGAGGATTATCTGACCAGCCAAAGCTTTCGCACCACCGAGGAGAAGGACAACTATTACGCGGAGCTCAAGACCGCCGCCGAGTCGGGCTGGGACTTTTCCAGTCGATGGTTCATACTCGACGGCACGAACAAAGGTAATCGCGTCATTCCTCGGTGTCTTTCAAGGCCCCCTTGTCGCTCCGTCCGTCTCTATCGAAAGTTTCTTCGTTCGTTCGTACGTTCGTTCTTTAGGTAACCTGACCAACTTGAAAACGAGATACATCATCCCCGTGGATCTGAACTCGATAATATATCGAAACGCGGTACTGCTGGCGCGGTTCAATGCGAGGATGGGCAACGAATCGAAAGCCGCGTACTACCGGAAAAGAGCGGAGGAATGGAAGAGAGCGGTCACGGCCGTACTCTGGCACGACGAAGTAGGCACTTGGCTCGACTACGATATCATGAACGACATCAAGAGAGATTACTTTTATCCGACCAACATTCTGCCGCTCTGGACCGATTGCTACGACATTGCCAAGCGAGAGGAATACGTGTCCAAGGTGCTCAAGTATCTGGAGAAAAATCAGATCATGCTGAATCTCGGCGGCATACCGACTACCCTCGAGCATTCCGGTGAACAGTGGGACTACCCGAACGCCTGGCCGCCCCTTCAGTACTTTGTGATCATGTCGTTGAACAGAACCGAGGACCCGTGGGCGCAGAGACTGGCGTACGAGATCGGGCAACGATGGATCCGTAGCAACTACAAAGCGTTCAACGAGACGCGCAGCATGTTCGAGAAGGTTAGCTTGCGTTCTTGCTTGCTTGCTTCCTTTCTTCCTTCCTTCCTTCCTTCCTTCCTTCCTTCCTTCCTTCCTTCCTTCCTTCCTTCCTTCCTTCCTTCCTTCGGAGGCGGTGGCGAATACGAGGTGCAACTCGGCTTCGGCTGGAGCAACGGAGTCATCATGGACTTGCTGGACAAGTACGGTGACAGGATGACCGCCGACGATCACTTCGTGCGCGACGACGTGCTGCAAAGCGCGGCTCCGCAACAGCCTGTCGTCTCTACGGCCGGTCAAGTGATGACGGGCGTTCTCGCTCTCATCATATCGATAGCCGCGGGATTCATAGGGTGAGGTGAGTCTCGCTACCCCCACCTCCTGCACTCGACACTCTCCAACTTTCTACTATTTCCAACTATTTTCTTCCCTTTTGCTTTATGTTTCAGATATCCTTTTGCGGTCTGTTTGTCTGTCGTTCCTCGCTACGGCGTATTAGTATTATTATTAACAATAGTGGCGGTAGCAGTAGTATTAGCGTGCGACGTTTGCCGAAATTGTACCGTCGCGAATAGCCTTCTGTGATTCTCGCGGAGGGAGCTTCTTCGCGGGTCGAGGATGCGCCTCTGCGACACCGATCTTTCCGCTTCTAACCACCGTTTCTTTTCTCACGTGTATCCAAACTACTCGAATTCAGCAGCAGCAGCAGCGCAGCAGCGTCGCTCCTTCCTTCCAACTTGAGGGATTTCGAGAGCGAGAAGAATAACGGCGCGGTTCTCATCTAGTCATTTCGACCGCGCGCGTTCGACCTAACCAACCAATGTATCGCACCGTGTATACCAAAGAGGGCCGTACGGAATCCCAACGGTCGACCATTTCTTTCTTTCTCCTTTCCTCCCTTCCTCATTTCCCTCTGCAACTTTATCGCCAACTGGAGCGACTCGCAAGGTCTCTCGACCGCCGTACAATTATCCTTTGCCAACCGGTCTGCCAGAGTTTTACCGCCTAAGTTTGCTTTCAAGGTATCGACACGTTGCATTTGCAATACGCCAATCATTCTTAAACCATCTATTCTTCTTGTTGTATTTAGATAAATTTCGATTCGTTCGTTGATCGATCGATAGTGTAGGATAGAATAGAACACGATAGGAAATAATAAGAGACGAGACGATACGGGACAAGACGAGACGGAATAGAAAAAGATCGACAACGTGTCGCCGTAGAAAAAAAGGTAAACGGTAACATCCTAGATTGTTTTCGATCGACAATGCTTTACTTTACTTACGTTTGCCTACCTATGTGGTGGTGACTTTTAAATAAAGTATATGAATCAGAAAATCTATCCAAAACCCGTTCCCCCTGTCAACGTTCCCCCTCCACACGCGACGGATCGTAGAGTTTCGAGAAACCTCCTTTGTTATAAGTTCCCGTAGTATCGTTAAAACTGGAGAAAGAGCATCGCAGCGACGATTCTCGCGATCGCTGGCGGCGAACCGAAACCGGAAGCCGCGATCACGCAACCACTCGTCGTGGATCTACGTAACGCGGTGCGCGGTGCGCTTTGCTGCTGACGATCCGCCGCACGTCGTTCTCGCGAAAAACTTTTTCGACCGAGTCTGCGTACGGCAAAGTTTGCGAACCAATCGTAAAGAGTCCTTGCCCTCCTCCCAACTTGAATATCGTCGGTTTGATCACGGTACACACGGACACGGAAGCGCGCGCATAAACAGACAGGTGGGCGTGACAGGAACACGTCGTTCAAGCATTTGACGCGAGCTCTCGCAGAGTCGTTCTCAAGGATGCGTTCGCTCGAGGAGGAAACGACCAAGTTGCGCTTGCTCGCTTGTAAAAGTCGGATTAAAGAAATAAAGTAAAGCGGTAGGCAATTTGTGGGAGTAACGCGATCGACTAATCGAATATCGTTTGGTGCGTTTACAGAATGGTGGTGTACAAAAGGCGGCATTACTACGCGCCCGGACCGTCCACGATGCCGAACAGAAGGAAAGTGATTTCACCGAGCGAAAACCTTTACCGCAAGAGGATCGCCTACACCGAGCTCAAGGACATGAACGACGATTGACGAGCGTTGCTCGTTTAGAGGGCTAATTCGTTAAAACCGACTGGAAACCGCGACAACGGCACAACACTGTCGAGTAGTAGGAAGGAGGAAGGTGGACGAGGAGGCGCCAGCGGTAAACGGAACTCGTCCGCGGTCTCTACCTCTTCCAACACGTAGATAGATAGGTAGATAGATGAAAAATTCACCGCGGTTCCAGATCGTCCCCACAGTAATCCGTCACGCCTCCGACTAAATCACTCCTGCCATTTCGTTCGGCGTCACGCAGTCGCAGTCGCAGTCGCAGTCGCGTTCGATTCACGGGGAAGGTGAACAACGGTGCAAAAACGCGAACGTGACTTTTCCGAACGAGGAGGGACACTGGAGAAGAGAGTGATACCGTGAAACGATCTGGAACGTGTGTGGCGTCACAATTGCGATACGCTTGCACGCCTGCGCGTCTCTATCGTAACCACCGCGCCGCGTCCCGCAGACTGTGCTGCACGCGCCAGGCCTAAACAACGTGGATCCCTGAGAAAAGCGCACGCCAACCGGTCTACCAGACGCTAGGAGTGGTGGAGAGAAGCGATCGAGGAAACAAATCGCGAGTCTAACACTCGAATAATCGAGCGTTGCGTGTACTCGTACGTACACTGGGTTTATAGGTGAGTTTAGGTAATCGATCATCGATCATCGATACACGATACCATAGATCAAATTATTCTAGAAAATATTCTATATTTTCCGGGTACTTTTATAGAAAGGAATTGGTTTAGCCGTGCTTTTCGCGGCAATCCGTACGTTTCACCGTTATTCGGGCTAATATACTTGCTTAATCAACCAGACCTCTCCGAAGGAATTGCGAAACTCGTTTACGATGCGCGTAGCCAACAAGAATAGCCGACCGAATGCTTTTCCTGCTGGACTTTGCGCTCGCCCGATATTCCTTCCTTGTAAATAGTAACGCTCTTTTTACCGTCGTGCCGCCGCGAAACCTACGACCAGCCGTAGTCGATTTAACTTAACGACTGGTCGAAGCCACGATGTGTAACATTCGGTTTTAACCATTTTCACTGTCGAAATCATTCTAGTTTTTATGATAAACACGCGAAAAGTGTAATAAATAGAGAATTTTGTTGCGATTAGATAATAGAAATGTGCGTTCGCGAAGCCGACTAGAAGCGAGTTTAGATATATAGGGGCATCTCCTAAGTTGTACATATTTTACTCGCCGCGGTCCATCTTTTATTTCAAACACGCCTCGTTTTGCGCAGGATATATATCTAGCTAGCCAACAAACACCAGCAGGATACTCTCTCTAAACGGCTTGCGAAACAGCAAAAGAGCGAAAGAGCGAAAGCCGAACAACGATCCCCTTTTTGCCTTCTCGAACCTCGCGATAATTCGATTCGAGCAATTAACGTCTTTTATTTAACCCTTGTGTCGATACTCGGCTATCCGGAGGGCACAACAATTTTTACTTTTTCTTCCTACGTTATCCAGTCTCGGTTCTCAAGTTCCACGTTGAATATCTATAATGTTCGTTGGCTTGCCAAGGACACTCTCGATAGCAAGCTTTTCAAACCGATCTTCCATACATAATGGATAAAGCGAGCTCTCTTCGCTCACTTTACTCAAAAACACCCGTCGTTCGTTGCTGCTTCTTCTTCTTCGTCTTCTTCTTCGGAGCATTTTATTATTTTCCTAATAAATAATGTACGAAGCAAGAGCTGCGATCTGAATAACATCGAAGAATAAACAGAGTTTGGTCCATAGTGTCAACTCCACTCTTGTATTTATCGTAATAAAGTATCATTTCTGGTTTCTTTTTAGCGTCACTTGATATTGTCGTATCTGCCTGGCGTGCTGCAATTCAGTCAACATCTTCCAACTGGAACCCTTTCTCGAGACATTCCACCAAAACTGTTCAGATTCAAAAAGTAGGCACCTCGGATATTGATATTCGGTTGTTGACATAAGGGTTAACTAGGTTATTCGATTTACTTATTTATTTATACAGTTCGTCACGACACTTGTCTCCTGCCGTCGCGGCGGCTCGAATCTCGCCAAGGAAAAAGAACAAATAGTGTGCGCGGTTGCTTGCTCGTTCGCGCGACCTACGTTTTTATCCACGCAACGGTCATCTTTCCCATCGTCTCGCACAAACAAGAATCGTCGAACGAGAATCCTAACTGATACACGAACGCCTCTGTAAATATACGATACTTTGATTATTGTGATACTTGGAAATAAGTAGCTACCCACGTGCCCTTCTATATGTATGTATTACGTTTCTTCTTCTTTTTTTTCACTCCAAACTCCTCGTTTCTTTCGATCTGGAAAGACTGGAATCGCGGAATCGTCGAAGGTGTTTCCTGTTCTTATCTGTCGTTCGACGATTCATACCTGGCTCACGCGGTAGTCACAACGAACTTGTAACATCCAGTTTCAGATCAACTTGTGTTCGAACGCGAATCGAGCCTCTCTTCTCTCTCTCTCTCTCTCTCTCTCTCTCTTTTCGATACGAACGAATCCTGTATATTTTTTTTCCTTTTTTTATTTGTCCGACGAATAGATAATCGAATCGTGTAGTTTGTAGGTAGGAATATCGAAATTTATAGGTAAGGCGCTCATGCAGGATATACTCGTTTCGAGAAAAGAAAAGAAATGGTTACGATACGCTGGCGTATCGTTCGAAAGTTTTTAGCAAATTGCCGAATCCGTCTTTTTTTTTCCTTTTTTTTTCTTTTTTCTATGTACATACATGTATCAGCAATTGTATATTTTAACAAAGTATGCTCGTTTGGTAAATAAAGTGAAAAAAATAAGGAGGGAAAATGTCGGGGGTTGTTCGTCTCCTCGGTGGTTACACGCATCATCGACAACCACTGTCCTCGTAGATTACTTCTTATATTTGCTTACAATTTATACCACGTAACAACAAGGAAAAATACTGAATTAAACGGGGATACCTTATTTCATGTATCACACACAGACACGAGAGCAAATCAACGTTTTCCGCAATACAGTTTCTCGCTTATTGGCAAAATAAGTTTTTTTTTTCTTTTTCTCTTAATACTTGTCACTGGTAAGTTTGCACGATCTCGTTGGGCCTGCTGAATCACGATCCAGCACCGATCGTACGTTGAAGTGTTTCCTCTCGAAAAAACGAAACCGCAAGGTATCCCCAACACACACACACACACACACACACACACACACACACACACACACACACACACACACACACACGTTTCGGCTTCGTTTAACACGCTCTAACCACGCTACCAATTTTCCAATCATTCGCAACAACTCCAACTTGCAGTGGTAAACACACAAAACATAGCGTGTGCGTGTGTGAACGCGTTAAAACGGTGTGCGAATTCATTTCCGTTCGTTTCGCGCGTCTATCTGGACAACGATACTTCGCCACGCGATATTTCGACCGCGTTCATTCGAATCGAACGTATCGTGTGTTATAGTAAAGACTTGAGGCCATTTTCAGACACCTTCAACGATAGATGTATCTATCTATCTATCGAGAATGGCAGTATTCGTTGATCCATCACTTTCCTCCTCCGAAAATTCCTTCAAAATACAAGATCTAGAAAAATATAGATGTATATGCAAAATGTACTTTTCCAGCGTCGAATGTTCGATCGTAGATTCGCGCTTCCCCCTTCTCGATACTTTGCAATCACCTACGCGCGTGGTATAATAATATCACAAATTAACTCGAAACTCACAGAAATGATAATAATATCCGTTAGAGAGAAAAAGTCTTACGATGCAGACTAATCGATTAAATTTAACTGCGTTTCATCGCAGGGAAGTACAACGAATCGAGCTTTGCCGGTACATTTGTATATCGATGAGAAGAAGGAAGAAAGTGAAATTTCGACGCCTCGTGAAACACAAAATCTAATTACTGGTCACGCTATTCCGTCCTACTGACGAATCAACGAACGAACGTTACAGAGTTCGGAGAAACGAATATTAAATGAAAATCGTCGATAAGAGTAATGATCGGTGGTAAACAGTCGTTATCGTTCCATTCGATTATTTCGAAACGTCTCTCTGTCCAGGTGGCGTAACCATTAACTACGAATAAAAAATTAAGGGGAAGACAAATCACGAAGTATCTATATATCAGCACTTTGGTGCGCAAACAAATGTACATATGCATTTAGACGCGTTCCTTCTATATGTAAAATATGTGTGCGTGAACCTGTGTACGTGTGTACGTTTCTCTTTCTTGTTCCTTCTATTTTTTTTTCTTTTTTCTTTTTTGCATCTTTTTCTTCGTTTCTTTTTTTAGGCAAACTTACATCGTTGGGCATTATAAATATAACCGACGTCTAATAGTAATTACGTAATCCTAAAAATAAATATCTATCACAAAAGACTGGTCTACGATATAAGTGGCTTTTGCGGCTTACGGTAATTCCCAGTGTCAACGTACTCGTATTTACGTACTTTCTTCTCTCCTCGACGATACTCAATTACACAAAGTTACGACGAGTTCTTATCCTAACTATTTACAAATCATACGTCACTAGTATTTTCTGATTTACTTCTCCATTCGCACGACAAACTCTTTCATAATAAATATGAGAACGAGGCGTCCATCGCTATCACGGTAGTATTGCACGCATCTCGTGCCGAATAGCTTGTTACGCAGCAACGATCGAGACGACACCGTTCGATCGTCTACAACGCGTACGTTAGTTGCTTGCCTTTTTCTTTTCTTTTTTCTCTCTTTCTTTGTTCTTTTGACAAGCTACGAATGATTTTTTCGATGGCGATCACCCCCCACACATAGTATACGTAAACGTTCGTGCATGAAGAGCGATCGCGAAAGAAGCATGTTAGAAATCGTCTGCTTCTAAACCGCACAGTCTTCGTTCTCGCGAACGTGTCGTTCGTGGTTTGTGTACCGTAACAGTGGAGCCCCTACGTTCACGGCACCCGTTTCTTCCTCGTTGTTCACCGAACACGTAACAATCTCCTCTAAAAATAGAATTATGCCAATTCAACAGTGACAAGAACTGGTAGAAATAAGTAAAGAACCAAGACAAAAACGTACGTACCGGGTAGACATAATTGTAACTGATCGCTACTAGGATTGGTACTGTCACCTGTACCGCTATCTTTGCTATGCTGAGAACTCGTTTCCAAATATAAGTGCGTTTGTGTGTCTGGCACCGTAGCTGCGATAACCGTGGACGGTTGTGCGTTTCTACCTTGCGCACCAGCGTTCAAACGTCTTCTAGTTTGATAGATTATAACCACCCACACTATGGACGTACCAACGGCGCAACATACAACAGTGATTATTATCAAACCTAATATGTCGTCTTCGTTTACCGAAGCGGGACTAGGAGTGGAAGTCGGAGCTGCCGAACAAACCACGAGTTTCCGTATTAGACTTTTAAGGAAAATTCTTTTTAAACAAAAATACCAACTCGTGAAACGCATTTTACCTGGTTTCACCGTAAGATGAGATGCACCGACTACGCTGCCCAACGAATTGCTCATTTCGCATTCGTAACTACCAGCGTCTCCAACTTTCGTGTCGACAATGATCAATAACTGATCTTCGGCAGTGAAGAAATGACGTTCGGTTGCCTGTAAAGGATTTCCATTTTTCCGCCAGGATAATTTTGGTCTAGGTGTACCGCTTGCCATGCACTCCAATACGATCGAACCACCGACGGTTATTTCTTTATTCTCCATTGGTTTCACAAACGACGGTGTTTCTTTGAGAAACAAACGAAATGAAAGAAAAAAGAACAACGAAAAGCGTATTAAACAGCACCGAATATGTTTGCGATGCTTACCTAATATGGTGAGAGTGGCATTCGCGACAATAAGGCCAGCAAGATTTTGCGCGGTGCACGAATAAACGCCGCTGTCGGCGGTTTTCACATCGACGATGAATAGTACATCGTCGGTCGGCATCATGTGCATTCTTCTCTCTCTTGCAGCTGGAAAGTCGTTTCCACCGTCTTTTTGCCACGCTATTTGCGGCGACGGTTGCCCTTCCGCGGAGCATTCGAGCCGGGCAGTGCTTCCAGCGATCACACGTATATCGTGTGGAATTTTTGAAAATGATGGATAAACTAAAACGGTAGGAGAGAGAAAGAGAGAGAGAGAGAGAAATCGAATAAATCGATTTGTCGTGCCTATCAAACAACACGTGTGAAAACTCACTTAAAATGCTCAACTTTGCTTTCGCAGAGTACGTTGTTCCATAAGTGTTGGTCACCATACACTGATATTTCCCCGCGTTTGCATGAGTGACGTTGGTAAGAATTAAAATAGAAGATGCTTCTGTCACACCGCTCTCCGTAGAATCGGTATTTATTTGTAAATTAGCGTCTTCCATTTCAACATTATCGTGCTTCCACATAAAATTTAATGGCGCACTTGCGGTACTCGTCGCTCGACAAATTAACGTCACGTTATCTCCTTTAATTCCCATCTGACTTTTAGGTTCCTCGATGATCCTTGGCTTTGGATACTCGTCTATATACGTCCGTACACGTATTTGTTAATAATAGAGATTCACCGGTAAGTAGGCTAGTAGGTAAATTAGAGTTTTCATTATACCAACCACACGTGAAATTCTTATGATGAAGTTGAGTCAACGACATTCCTTGTAACCAATGCGGATATCCACAATACGCTTCCGCGTCGCTATACCTATGCTCGCGTAACCACATACTTAACCATTGTAAGCCGCAGTCACAAACCAAAGCTCCTACACGTGTACAAGAAGAATATAATGAGGTGTAGTAAGTGTGTCGCAAAATCACGAACGCGTTTGTCTCTCTGTACGTACTTGAATTCATTCTCAATTTAGTTAGACTGGTCATTGAAACGAACGCATTTTCCTGAATACTCGTTACATCGTTACCAGTTAAATCCAGTTCAGTTACACTACTTAATCCGGTGAATGCATTTTTGTTCACCGACTTTATTCTATTGTGCGCCAATCCCAGTTTCCATAGTTGTCCCAATGGATCAAACGCGCCGTTAATGTCTTCCACCATGTATGAAATTTTGTTGAAGTTAAGTTCCCTTAAATAAGAAACGTATGTGAGAAACTTGCGAGTTTACCGTCATTTTCGTACCTGCACACTACCTGTACATACAATATCTGTAGGTTTGGAGTTGAACGGAAAGCACCATCCGCGATGTAGGTGATTTGATTGTGGTCCAACTTAAGTTTCTCCAATTTTTCCAAAAATTCAAATGTATCTCGTTCGATAACTGATATTTCGTTGTGCGATAAATCCCTGCAAGCAGATTTTTAATCATACTACTCTTTCTCATCTACATATTATTATATTACGCGTTGCAAGATAAAAATATTACTAACAATTCTACGATTTCTTTGCACCTATCCCATGCTTGCATTTCGATCGTGCTTATTCGATTGTGCGACAACGTTAACTTTTGTAAACGCTCTAATCCAAATAGACCACCTTTTCTCACCATAGTTAATAAGTTAAAATCAAGTTGAAGTATCGTTAAATTTTCGAGAGGCCAGAACGCGCCATCGTCTAATGTTTCGATTTTGTTTCTCTTTAAGCGCAACTCTTTCAAATTTTTCAAACCTCGGAGGCTGAGTCCTTGAATCGTCTGTAATTCGTTCCGATTTATTTCTCTGCAAAAAAGAAAAAGAAAAAAGTGCACGTGTATAATGTGCAAGAATGGCCGGTAAGATTATACGAAATATGCTGTTCCTCACAATATGCGCAATTTTTTCAAGTTCGTAAACAGATCTTTCAACTGGGTCAAGTGATTTTTATTCAAACGTAATTCTTCCAACGCGGTCAAATTATCCAAACTTCCATTTTCGATTATCTTAATCTGATTCATGTTTAAATTTCTGCAAGAGAAGAAAAAAATATACGTCGGGATAACGCTTATCGTTGCAAAAACCTTATAAAACATATGTGTGTCGTAAAATACGAAAATAAATAGTATCATACAAATGTGTAAGACTGTTAGGAGAGAGAAAAGATCCATTTCGTACGACGCTTATTTTATTTCCACTGATATCCAAATTTTCAAGCCGCTGCAACGTGAGCAACGCGGTTCCATTTATATCGCTAATCGAATTATGAGCTCTGTGAAAAAATAAAAAAAAAAAATTATCTTTTACGTTAGAATGATTAATCTTATCGTTATAACATTGAATAATAAAACGGTATACTTACAATGCAAGATTAGTTATGTTTTTGACAAAAAACATATCTGGCACTTGTGTTAATTGGTTTTTATTTATTTTAAGCCCTTGTAATTGTGTAGCTTCTGACAGAATGATTGTAAAGTTATCTCCAAATTTATTGGCGCTGAGGTCTCTTAAATGAATTGCCAGGCAAAATGAACGAATGAATGAATTAATTAAAGTTTACAATTGTCTCCTTTGGCAACAAATACTTCTTATGAGTCGTTGAAATTAATGTTATTGCAGAAAGTACTTACAATTCTTTGAGCCTAATTAAATGTAACAACGCATCCGGCTCTAAGTTAACAATATTATTCTCCTTTAGCTCTCTGCAAAGGAAAATGAGAATTTATCATACCGCTCTCTTTACTATCTTTTCACATTTTCAATTTACTCCTATCCTTTCCTGTTCCCTTACATGTACATGTTTTCACACGTGCAACTGTACAATAGACAATACAATAAGTGGCCTCAAGACACTGAAAATAAGGCTTTCCCATTTGAATCTTGATCTCCTTGACTCTAAACACCATCAAGTCTCGATAGCCTATGTCAGTACATATTTCCATATATGGTTAAGAATCCTTACTAATTTTACACTTGAAAGGGACAAACTGTCAATTTTTTCTTTATTGTTTAATATTTTAAGAAGTAAAATTTATCATCCAAATCATGAGTAATTGTATAACTAACTTAATTAACGAATTACTCTCTATAATGGAATAATACCATTAAAGGAGCAATGCTCAATTATTCAATGCATTACCAGCAAGATATATATATATAAAAAAAAAATGCTCAACAATGTATTTATTTGCTTGGTTCGATTTAAATTCAACCGTTGCTGTTATCGCCTACATTTATATTTCTGTTACAAATTCCTGTGTTTATTATCTTATCTTGTTAGATCATGTTACAGTGAATATGCGTAGGTTTCAACTTTAAATCTTAACGATAGTTGCATGTAACGAAACATCGCACAATTGCAATTCGATTAAGAAAAAATCCAAACGCGATCGTAAACGACGATTTTAAAATAATAATCAGTGATGAAAGGAGAGAAAAAAAAAAGGAGTAGAATTGAAAGAAAGAAATGTAATGGAACGAAGCACGATACATACTATATACCCCATGATGATGCAGGTTCTTGATAGGATAACGACCGATTATTTACTTACAAGATCTCTGTCCATGGTGGTAGTCCGCTGGGTGCTCCGATCAATTGTAAGCTACTGCAGTCTACCACATTCCCAAGGCACGCACACTCAACGGGACACTGATTATCCTTCGTACCATCGTGCGATATCCTTTCGGCTTTCGCACTGTTCGATAGAATTACACACAACACTGTACATATAACAGCCGTCCATTTGTATTTCCACACAAGTCGACGTACGAGAAAAACTTGTTCCGAATTCGACATCGTACGTACTGTCGTATCGTTCCGCTTAAAACTTATTTCGTAACTATACGTTGCGTGTCGATGGTTTTCGCCATAGCGACTCGTGGGACAACGACGGCACTCCTTGTAAAATCATCACCGTAATAATAAAAATGCTCACGTCCTATCGATTCAAAACAAACTCGCTTCTCAAAAACGCTTCAACCCACACACCATGATGACGCCTACAACAGCAGACCGATCCAAGACTCCCTCACTGATTGCGCGAGACTGTTCTCTCTCTCTCTCTCTATTTCTTTCTCTGCAACGTTCCAACCTTCGTGTTACTAGAAGTTAATGTACTAGCTAGTGATATTTTCCTCGATTAAAAATTTGCAAGTTGCGTTTATGTCACGAAATGCAGATTGTAATTTACTTGTCTTTCCCCAATATTGAACTATTTTCGAATGAAAAATTATCCTATCGCCTTCTACCGTATTCTCAACGGCACTCTGACGCAAAAATAGTAAATAGTAGCAAAAATATATCTTATCCAACGAAATAACGCATTTAATCGCGTAATCGAAATAATAAAACCGCATGAATCATTCAAATATTCGCTCTATTAAATAAAATACAACAGGAAAAAAGGAATTTCAATTTTACTCTTCTCTATAAACAGATATTCTGAATTTTTCTTCACTTACGTCAAGTTTTTCTCCGCTATAGTTTTATTTAATCGGGATATTTTTTTTATTATTCCCGGAGAAAATACAACAAAATGCATTTACAAAGAATGTAGGTATTGTTAAAAAATTCAATAATTGTTACTAAATATTTATGTTTGTATTAAATCACTATGTGTATATCTGTCAATAAATCACTATTTCACAGCATCATTTTTTCTTTCAAACAAATCGGTAACATTACATTTGAAGCTTCCATAAAACATTAAAATATTTTTACCTTCGTAGGAAATGGTATGTACTATATGCATATAATGTGTGTGTGTGTGTGTGTGTGTATGTACACATTCATACATACATGCGCACATAGATTTATATTCCTTAATCAATTCGTCAAATCTTCACGAACGTTATACACTGAAAATCAACGATACCTGTTGCAGTTTTTGTCATTATGAAAATTTCATTTATGGGCTTTAAGTCCATGTGGACTTACATCTAGATGATATAACTTACTCAATTTATTTGTTCAAGTTACGATTATATCGAACTGGAATAGATTGATTTAAAAATATTACACTAATTCCGTTCTTTCTTCTTTTACCGAAAATGCGTTAAACTTGAATGATACGATTCAACAAAAGCTTTAGACAAATACGTTACGAATATTTTTATAAAAATAAAGTAGGACTTTCTTACTCGTAGATATTTACCACGGTACACAATTGTTATCAATGGTAAGAAAAGTCAACGATAAAACGTTAAAATAAGATATGTTTAGCAGAGTGAAAGTTCGATAATTGCATTGTCACTGCTTTAAATGAAAGCAGCAACAACGCGATATACGCGTAACCTTCCTTCTAATAGTGTAAAAATGTTTTCGAACGTAACCAATGTATACAAATTCGTTTAATAATTAGAATCCAATGTAACTGCACGTACAGAGAAAGTCGACAGCAACGTAAATTATATAGATATTACAAACAGCCCATTTTCTTTATGTGAAATAATTCAGAATATAAATCAACAAATTGGAATGCCTATACTTTTGCATTACAATTTCTTCAATTACACCGCGTCGTCGTCGTCGACATCGTCTTCTTCTTTCTCATCATCTTTTTCTTCTTCTTCCTCTTCTTCTTCTCATTCTTTTTCATTTTCTTCTTCTTCTTTTTCTTCTTTGAAGGAAGATTATCCACATTTTAAGATATCGTTACATCGAAATAATAGATAATCTATTTAAAAACAGCACGATTAATTTCATCGTTATAAGATACATTCCGAAAATATGTTTTTAGTATCTGGAAATATGAAAGAATCGCAACTATGGTTAAAAATATACATAGTGTGATATTTTGTGGTACACAATATTGCTCATGATATTCACAATGCGTATAATCGTCTATCGTTACTCGACTAAACCACCAAAGTCAAGTGGCTACTCTTTATTGAACTGAAAATATATTTAGCAAGATCTTACATGTTTCAGTTGCTTCTTCACTTTTTCGAGCATAAAATAGAACATCTTTTGTAGCCGTAGAGAAAAAAACTACATTAGATTTAGCAGAAAACTAATCAACTATGAGGATTGCTTTCTGATCATAAATACACTTTAGTTTTTTTCAATGATCCATGTGCAGAACATTACCCTGTAAGAGGGAATGAGCTATTTAGAAGACATTTGCAACTCTTTATAATACAGATATTATTATTACTCAGCGTGTGAGCAAGTATGTCGAATACAATGGTAAATATGATCGGCCATTAACAAGAGAAGGCCCCTTTGCTAGTTAGAAGCCATTTTACGCGATAGTAAAATCAATGATTCGTTCGGATTGCTCTGTTTAGCACGATAGTATAGTTTGATTACCGATTAGCTACTCCAGGTTTCATCTTGACGGCGTTAAGTGGTCGGATGATACGAACTAATCAGTGCTGCATCTACCGGTTCCATGCACGATGGACATGTCAAGGAACGTAGCAACCAATCGTCGATACAGAGAGCATGGTAAGTATGCATACAGGGTAAATAGCGCACTTCCTCTCCCACCTGAAGCTCCATCATACATATCACACATTCTCCCTTTTTAGCCCCGTCGTATTCCCTTATCGGCAGATGTTGGATTAGTCCAATGCGTTTTGCAATTCTAACTTGTTGTTCCGTTAAAGTGCCTGGTCCTAAAGTAACACGGATGGTACTTCCACGAGGTAAACTGAAATTTGTCGACTGAAGATGACGTTCCACCCTAGCAATCGCCGGATAGTAGGAGCCAAATACCTCCTGTGGAATCGAAAACAACTAAAAACTTTGTACCCTTTGTAGCAGAAGAAAGAAAGACAGACAGACAGACAGACAGACAGACAGACACACACACACACACACGTGTCGAACAGATTTAAAAGTTAAACTATTCCCTGCTTCTGTGGATTATTAGTGACTTTGCAAAGGAGGAATATTCGAGTAAAGAGAATTGAAATAAAAGTGAGGGTAGAAAATCGATCGTTACGATAACCAAAGAGTAAATTTCAATAGGGATTTTGCAAAGAACGTTTTCGTCGTTATAAATATAAATACTAAAGAAAAAAGGAGATGTAATAGGTTACGATAAGAAGAAAGAAACACGATAAGAATAAAGAAATGAAAGATAGAACGGCGAATGGATGGTACTTGAGAAAAAAAAATGAAATTACATTGTAAGGTATCGGAGGTCCAAGGCCTTCTTGCTGAGAACTGCTAGTCAACGTAGGAGGATCAGGATTGTTACTTAGCAAAGTGGTATTGTCCTGTTGGCTGCCTCCGGCGCGTTTCAAACAATTTCCCATTCTGACGGAACGTCAGCTCTAGCTTGGCGTTTCACGGGCAGCCTGGTTCGATTCTTTAATCCCAACGTCGCGATTAAGCGATCGCGATATCTTCGACGTGGGATATCTCGAGGTCTGTCCCCATGAGAAATTGCTTATTTTTCCGCCGCAAAACGTAACGAAGTCCGTCGTTTTGGTCTTCGAACGGATGACAGTTCGTGCCTCGGGAGAAAATTCAATGCGTCGCGACTTTTTACCGTGAAAACATATTTCTCGTCACATACCCGTACACACAGCTGTATGCCTGACGCGCATCCAACAAGACGCAACGGAAAAGAAAAAAGAAAACGGGTTAGTTAGTCACAGGTTGTGAAAAAAACACTTTGACATCCCTGGCGCGACGTTCTTCAAACGTTTAGTATACACAGCACCGCTTTCGTCCTGCTGCGTAGAAGGTACCTCGCTGTGATTCGTCGTTAGAAGCGTATCTCATTTTCCAACGTCCAATCACCGAAAAACGACGCCGTACGATACAAAGAGTTTGCAGAGCGTGTACATACATATACACATGCATACGGCTCGTTCAAAAGACACTCGGCAACTAACCTACGATTGGCTCTTGGAGACGAACGTATCGCGAAACACAGCGTTCACGGTGCTGCTGTGCCTTTCGTTTAAACGTTCGAAGTAGAAGCAATTGTTCCACGTACGAACAATTTAGTGGTCGAATTGTACTCGACGATGCGTCGAAATGATCTCGAAGTAAACAAACTTCACATAAAGTTTAGTGAAGAAAGCTGAATAGTAATTTGGAAAATATACGTATCGTATAATAGTAAAATAAACTCTATTTTTACTATCGTCGAGTACTTGTTCGTATGCGTTGGAAAAATATCGAATGAAGAAGAAGAAGAAGAAGAAGAAGAAGCAGCAGCAGCAATGAAGCGCTTCGAAGCGGAAAAAAATTTGCTTACGCAGATGACGCGATCCGACCTTTGTTACTTTATCGATATTTTCGAAGAATCATAGTTTCGTAGTCTGTTTGAACGGCCGGCGGGGCGGGATTGATCGTCATCTATTTCTACACTGTTCAATTGCAAATGATGGGCAGGACTGTCAGAAGATGCGATTAGGGTGGGTCTTTATTAAAAGTTGGATCATGTTTAAACATCTATAATTGAGAGGACACGTTGATTGGCATATTCATAAAGTGGGGTGGTGATTCGTCGGGCCCGATAGGGACTGGATAGGGACCGATTTAACTTAACTTAACTTAACTTGACATAGAATATAATAGTCGGAAAATAAGTTGAGAAACGGAAAAGAAAGAACGAAATGATATTTTAACGGACGAAGGGAAGGGAAGGTTCGATTAGAGTTGGAAAGCGATATTTTTCAAACGCAACGTAAGAATGTTAGATGTCCGGTAAAAATGGTTTTCGTGCTTATCTTATCTAGTTATGACCCGTAACCTCGTGCAAACACGAAAAGTAAGAAGACCTTTGGTACCGATCCTCTCCCCTCTGGCGTAAAGAGAATAGCGCGTAGCTGTTTCGATATCGTGCGTAGTCCATTCGGTCGGCGAGTTCGGTCGTGACAGGAAGTACTTACTTAACCGATCTGTCGCGTAGCCGTGCTTCCCATCAAGCAGCGCACACCAAGCACAGGGGCCGCCGCGGCCTCTTTCGCACCCCAATTCCTCAGTTCAGTCTTTCCGCTCGATCAGTCAGGATCTCCTGTCGAGGTGCGCGCGCGCGCGCGTCTTATTACAACGTTGGAACGTGGGTAAGATCGGAAAAAGTGCGGGGAAAGAAAGTCTGGCCGGCGACGAATGCGAGGCGATGAGAGGAGCGCATCGAAGAGGGAAGAACGTGTAACCAGAGCTAATTGTGTTACCGCAACGAACAACAACATGAGTTCGGATCGACGAGGATCATGGTGCCGCGTGGCGATTTTTCTCGCCACGATTTGCCTCGCGATCGCCGTTGCACAATCGGGTAATTCTCTTGCAACATGTATAATACACACGTTTACGTATTTGTCGATATCGTGTGAAATTTTTTTCTTCGGTCGGCTATCTGTCGCGCATGTTGTTCAACTTTTCTTTCCGAGAAGTCGCATCGAATATAGGCGCGCGGATATCGGTCTCGTTATCGTTATTGGCAAATCGTAACAAACGTACATACAATGTATTTCTAAAATTGTGAAACTTGGCTTGTTAAACTCGATCGTTAAAATCTGGTTGCAGAGCTGGCGAAGGATCGTACGTTGTGCGGCCGAACGAGATGCAAAGGTAAGGAGAAAAGAGTTTAGGATGGTACCGGATGGTAGCGAGAAGCGAAATTGACCGTAATTCGATCGACGATGTGTTCACAGTTAGAGCGAGCAGGAAATTCAAGTACGAAGAAAATGTGTCGTACCGGTACAGATACTCGGTGGACGTGAGCACGAACCTGGGCTATCCTGGGAACGAGTCGACGTTACGGCTGGACGCAGATGCGATCCTTCAGTTCAGCAGCCCTTGCGAGGGTACCCTGAAATTGAAGAACGCCAGCCTGAGCCACGATCCTCGGAAATACAATCCGGAATTTCCTGACCGTGCCGGGGCGGAGTTCAAGGCGAACCTCGAACGTTTCGCGTTGAGGTTCGCGTTCGACGACGGTCGGATAGACGAGTTGTGCCCGGACAAGCGAGATCCGGTCTGGGCGTTGAACTTGAAGAGAGGGTTACTATCGACGATGCAAAACACCATGCACAGATTCGACGTGGATCGTCGCGTGAACGAGGTGGACGTGAACGGCGTTTGCGAGACGACCTATCGTCTGCACGAGGCGAAACGCACCAGCTTGATCGTGAGGAAGGAGAAACGTTTGTCAGATTGCAGCCAAGGGTCCAAGCATTTCTCCGTGATCCGTTCGAGCCGTTACAAAAGTCCACGCGGCTCTCGGCATCCCCTCGTCGAGTCTCGAAGCGAATGCGAGCTAACCATCGATCGTAACATATACGAGACGATCGTTTGCAAGGAACTGCACCGGTTGCAGCCTCTCTCGAGCGGCAATACGGGCGCGAGAACCGAATCGACGACTACACTTCGATTGACCGGAGAGTTGAAGGAGGATCGCGAATACGCGGCGGAAACGGAGAGCGGCGAGGTGCTGGAGGAGGAGGAGGAGGAGGAGGAGGAGGAGGATAGAAGAATTGGGAAAAGGACGAGTTTGCTTTACGATTATTCGAAAACCCCGAGAACCGGGGAGCTGAGAAACGCGAGGGATCTGTTGAAGACGATGTGCAGGCTTGGGATGAGCGCGGACGAGATGCAACAAGGGCTCTCCGAGACGTTCACGGCGTTCGTTCAGTCTGCCCGGTTTCTCAATTATCCGTCGTTATACCAGTTGCTGGTCAGAGCGAACGGTATATGTAAAAGTGGCAAGTGAGTAGGTTTATTCTATTCGCGTTTTATATTCGCGTTTCATATTTCCGAGCGGGGTCTCTGTTTTCACCGCAGGGAGCACATCGTCGACGCGCTGCCGTTCATGGGCAGTAACGCGGCTGTGAGCGTAATGAAAGATCTGATAATACAAGGACAGGTGGACCGGTCGACTATCGACAAATGGGTAACCGCATTCGCGTTAATTCCTAGACCAAATCGAGAGACGATCAGAGTTCTTTCTCCTCTCCCCGAGTTTCTAGATGCTCAGGCTCCAGAAAGCCAATTCGTTTTGAGTTATTCCGCGAGCATTTACGCTTTCTGTTCAACCTACGAAGGGACAGAGTGCGGTAAGGTCGAAGAGGTGGCACGATTTCTCTCGTATCTCGAAGAGAAACTGGAAAAAGGGTGCGCGCCCCGTGCGCACTCCCTTTCCACGATCAAACAGGTACACGTTTCCGCGTATTAATCATTATGATAAATATAATTATGCTATTATTTGTGCCATGGTTAACGCAGCCTGTCCATTCTCAGAGCTTGGAAGCGTTGAAAGCGATCGGGAATATGGGCCTGGAGACGGAGAGTTTGTTGGAACGATTGAAGGAATGCGTAGACGACGCGGGAGGATTTTTGCCGATGGAGATACGCGTGGCGAGTATCGAAGCTCATCGTAGAATGCCGTCTTGCGAGAAAACCCGGGATCTCTACTTTCTCAACTATTATCGGAACTTTACCCTCGAAACGGAAATACGCATCGGCTCCTATTTACAAGTGATGCGTTGCCCCGACTACAACGTCATCAAGACGATCAAGCACACGTTAAAACTGGAGGAAGTGAACCAAGGTATTTCTCGAGAATCTACTCACCTTCTTCTACTTTCCGAAACTACTCACCTCCTACTTTCCGTAACGTTCTTCACAGTCGGAACGTTCGTTTGGAGTCACTTGACCAACTTGTACAAGTCCGCTTCGCCTACCAGAGTGGAGATTCAAAGTCTTTTGACCGATCGGGATCTCGACGAGAAGTTCAACAGCGACAGAAGGAAGTTCTCGCGGAATTACGACGGATCATTTTTCTCGGAGGAGTACAATTTCGGTGGCAACTATCAAGGGAATCTGATATTTTCACCAAAGTCCTACATACCTAGATCCGCGACGTTCAATCTTACCTTGGACCTTTTCGGCGAGTCCGTGAACTTTTTCGAAGTAACCACGAGGCTCGAGGGCCTCGAATATTACGCGGAGAAGTTCTTCGGACCGGACGGATCGTTTCCGTATGATAACGAGAAGGTGTCTGGTTTCTTTAAACGATTGCTCAGGAGTTTCAGAGCAGCGGCCGCTGACGAACAACAGGAGGGGGAAAACTATTGGAAACGCGTGAAACGGCTGCCGAACGTTATTGAGAATAATTTCGACCAGCCGAAAATCAGTTTGAGTTACAGGGTAAGAGTTACTTCTTCCGTTTACTTTTCTTACCTTTCTTGCCGTTCCTTTCTTATTCGTTACACCGGCAGGTGTTCGGCAACGATTTGAAATATTCGATGTTGAACGGCGACCGCGAAATCAGAGAAGCTTTGACGCGTTTGGATCCATGGGAGAACTTCAAGCGAATCACTTCTGGGAAAGAAATTCACTACGAAAACGCGATAATGTTCTTGGATTCCACTTACGTGGTGCCGATGACATCGGGTTTGCCGGTGCGTTTGGATTTTGCTGGCTCCGCGGCTTGCGATTTCAAGATGTCAGGGTTACTCGACACCAAAGCAATCTCCAAAGGAGAGATCGAATTGGTCGGCAACGTCGCGCCTAGGTACCACTACGTTCTTAGCCTCTTCTTTTCCTCTTCTCACACACCTGCCTACTCACGTCTATGCCTGTCAACAGCATGAGCGTCGACGTGGTCGGCAGCATGACCGTGGACGCGTTTTACAAGACCGCAGGAACGAAGTTGCGAACGAACGTGTACTCTTCCGGCGCGGTTCGAATT